GTAGTAGTAGTAGTAATTAAAGTAGTAGGTAGTAGCAGTAGTAGTAGTAGTAGTAGTAGTAGTAGTAGCAGTCGTCGCAGTAGCAGGTCGCCGTAACAGTATTGCGTAGGTAGCCGTATCAGTAGCAGTAGTAGTAGTAGATAGTAGTAGTAGTCGTGTCGTAGTATTGTTCATGGTTAGTAGTTTAGTAGTAGTAGTAGTAGCAGTAGGAGTAGTAGTAGTAGTCGGTCAGTAGTAGTAGTAGTAGTAGTAGTAGTAGAGTAGTAGTGTAGTGCCTTATTTATTAGTAGAGGAGTCGGTCGGTCGTAGTAGTAGTAGTAGTAGTAGTCGTCGCAGCATCAGCAACATGCGTAGTGGTAGTAGAGGTAGCGTAGCCGTAGTAGTTGCTAGTAGTTAGTCTTAGTAGTAGTGGTAGTAGTCGTAGTCAGTAGTAGTAGTAGTGACTAGTTACTCAGTAGTCTAGTATAGTAGTAGTAGTAGTCGTAGTAGTAGTAGTAGTAGTAGTAGTAGTAGTAGTAGTAGTGAGCGTGGTGCGTAGTAGCAGGTTGTAGGGAGTCGTCGTCGTCGTAGTAGATAGTAGTGGGTGTCGTAGTAGTAGTACTGGTAGTAGTAGCAGTAGTCGTAGTAGTCAGTAGCTTAGTAGTAGTAGTAGTAGTAGTAGCAGTAATCGTAGTAGTAGTAGGCCTCAGTGCAGTAGTAGTTGGTAGTAGTAGTAGTAGTATAGTAGTCGTAGTAGTAGTAGTAGTAGTAGTAGTCGTAGTCGTAGTAGTAGTAGTAGTAGTAGTAGTAGTAGTAGTAGTAGTAGTAGTAGTAGTAGTAATATTAGAAGGAGTAGTAGTAGCAATCGCAGTGGTAGTAGTAGTAATAGTAGTAGTAGTCGTAGTAGTCGTAGTAGTAGTAGTAGTAGTAGTAGTAGTAGTAGTAGTAGTAGTAGTAGAAATAATAGTAGTAGCAGCTACAGCATCTCTAGTTCTAGTCGCCTTAGTAACAGTAGTAGTAGTTTGAGGGAGTTTCTGTGGAACTCACGTCATCCTCACCCCCGGCGCGAAGAGCACGAGTCCAGAGCGGCCTCCGGCACCGTTTCCGGACAGATCCGCTGGATCCGCTGGATCCGCTGGATCCGCTGGATCCGGTGACGAATCCCAAACCGGCGCCCTCGCCTGAGACATCCTCACAAAACGGGCCCCGGGGGGGATGCCCAGCGGAGCCCAGAGCGGCCTCCGGCACCGTTTCCGGACGGATCCGCTGGATCCGCTGGATCCGGTGACGAATCCCAAACCGGCGCCCTCGCCTGAGACATCCTCACAAAACGGGCCCCCGGGGAGGTGCCCAGAGGAGCCCAGAGCGGCCTCCGGCACCGTTTCCGGACGGATCCGCTGGATCCGCTGGATCCGGTGACGAATCCAAAACCGGCGCCCTCGCCTGAGACATCCTCACAAAACGGGCCCCGGGGGGGATGCCCAGAGGAGCCCAGAGCGGCCTCCGGCACCGTTTCCGGACGGATCCGCTGGATCCGCTGGATCCGTGGATCCGGTGACGAATCCCCAACCGGCGCCCTCGCCTGAGACTTCCTCACAAAACGGGCCCCGGGGGGGATGCCCAGAGGAGCCCAGAGCGGCCTCCGGCACCGTTTCCGGACGGATCCGCGGGATCCGCTGGATCCGGTGACGAATCCCAAACCGGCGCCCTCGCCTGAGACATCCTCACAAAACGGGCCCCGGGGGGGATGCCCAGAGGAGCCCAGAGCGGCCTCCGGCACCGTTTCCGGACGGATCCGCTGGATCCGCTGGATCCGCTGGATCCGGTGACGAATCCCAAACAGGCGCCCTCGCCTGAGACATCCTCACAAAACGGGCCCCGGGGGGGATGCCCAGAGGAGCCCAGAGCGGCCTCCGGCACCGTTTCCGGACGGATCCGCTGGATCCGCTGGATCCGCTGGATCCGGTCGTAGTAGTCGTAGTAGTAGTAGTAGTAGTAGTAGTAGTAGTAGTAGTAGTAGTAGTAGTAGTAGTAGTAGTAGTAGTAGTAGTAGTAGTAGTAAAAGTAACGTAAAAGTAGTAGTAGTAGTAGTAGTAGTAGTAGTAGTAGTAGTAGTAGTAGTCGTAGTAGTAGTAGTAGTAGTAGTAGTAGTAGTAGTAGTAGTAGTAGTAGTAGTGGTAGTAGTTATCGTAGTCGTAGTCATAGTGGTAGATGGATGCACGCAGGTCGCATCGACCCTTGTGCCTTTGATATGATACCCTGCCCTTGAGATGCGCGTTTTCGTAATCGTCGGCGATCTCTCCGATTTAACTTTATCTTCGAATCCAGGCCGTCGTTCCCCTCTGAGCCAGTTTCCTTTCCCTTCGTCTCCCCACTGCTCCGCAGACCTCCGACGACACAGTCGCTGCCTGTCCCCTAGAGATGAGGCCCAGCTTTTCATCTGGAGCCACTTTGCTCGTCTCCCAGACGCTGAAACTCACGAGCCACCAGAGGTCTTGAGCGAGTTCTGGAGCGGCTTTTTTACGCACAGTTTATGCAGCGATTTCTGATCGAGCTGCCAGGGGAGGGAGACAAGGAGGAGGAGGAGGAGGAGGAGGAGGGTGTTGACTTCGTCCTCATCCATGGTGCGTTTGACCAGAGTCTCGCGGCGGACTCCGGCCGCGGTGACGAGAGGCCGCCCAGAGGTCCACCAAAAAAGCCGCCCTACGGATGCCCAACGCATCCATCCTCAAATGGCAGGATCATTACGCAAAACCTTAGCATCCTCGAATGACATCTTCGAGTCACACAACTCCATCTTCGGAAACGAAAACTACCCAGTGACACCCTCGAGTGGCACAACCTGTCTAAGGTTCGCGCGGAGTTCTTGCCGCGTCGCTGGGGCCCCCTGGGGCCGAGCGACGTTCCCAGAAACCCGCGCGGACCTCCGAACGTTGAGGCTCGTGCCCTTTTTTTTTGTTCCTCGCCCATCCGGCTCCGAGCCTCGAGCTTCGAGGCCACGGGGGGCGCGTCCAGCCGTGCCCTGCCCCCCGTGGAGGGCGGCCCGCGAGAGAGAAACGGGTGGTCCATCCATGGGCGGCCGCGCGGAGCTTCAGGAGGGGGGGACAGCTGCTCGAGACAGTACAGTCCAAAAACCCTGATAAGGACGCGCGACTTTGCTCAGGGTACCCTTGCGTCGTTGCTCTTCCTTGCTCTTGCGTCCTTGGGTTTTTTCGTCGTCCGCCGCCCCGAAAATCCCAACTTCGGCTTCCAAGGGTCTTGCGTCCTTACCGCGCGTCCTTATTCGGGTTTTTGACTGTACGGTTTCTATGCTCTGTCCGCGTCTGGAGGCCGTCTCGGCCCCGATGCCGTCGGAACAATACGAAGGGTAGCCAGCCTCCGGGAGGTGCCGGGATCCCCAGGAGTGGCCACGTCGCGACAACAAAAGGCAGCGTCGGGTGAGAAGGAGGCCGAATCCCCCGTGAGGAGGAGGAGGAGGAGGAGGAGGAGGAGGAGGAGGAGGAGGAGGAGGAGGAGGAGGGGGATTTCAGGTGGAAGGGAGCAGGAGAAGGCGAAGGAGATGTTCCGCATGTGGGCCGAGGGATTCGTAGCAGAGACAGACAGGGAGCCTTGTGGCCTGCGGCCCTTCCCGCCACGGTGCTGGGGTTGTGGTTGAAAGGCCTCGTGGATGATTTCGGACCTGTTGGGGCCTCTGTCGGGCCTCTTGGGGGTCTCTCGGGGGCCTATTCGGACCCCTTGACAGGCTCTTTGAGCCTTGGGGGGCTTCTTGGGGCGGGAAGCTCGAAATGTCGGTTCGTGGTCCTCCTCTTAGGCCTGCTTGGGGCCCTCTTGGCGCGTCTTGGCGCTTTTTGGGGCTCCAGGACGCCCAGGGGCGGATGCGTATCTGACCCCCCCCCCAGGGACCTCCCCGGGACCGCACCCTCCCCTCGGCGGGGGAGGGATCAAAGGGAAGGGGCTGCCTTTCGACTTACGTACGACGTTGCTACGGTTTTCTCTCGCTGGCAGGCTTGAAGAGGAGTGTGCAGGGCAAGGGACGACGACGGAGACGCAGGGAAAGAGGACAACTGATGCGCCGACTGAGCGCACGCCGACAGGGGGTCCACACGCCGACAAGGTCGGCGGACTCTGACTTCCAAGGTGACCGATATTTGACCACAAACACAGAAATCTAGGATCATCTTACCCCTGACGAGGCAACCCCCTATGTTGGCGTTGCTAGGGGAACAAAAAGTGACATAAACATAAAGACTCGGAGGTCCGCGCGGATTTCTCGGATCGGCGCTGGGGCCCCCTCGGCGGCGCCTCCGGCGCCGCCCCTGGCGCGCTCCGCGCGCCAGGGAGGGGTGTCCAGCGCCGATCCGAGAAATCCGCGCGGACCTCCGAGTTTTCATGTTAATGCCACTCTTGGTTCCCCTAGTTGCTGCCCGTTCCCAGGCCTCCTGGAGCCTGTCTTGAGGCGATGCGTTCATGCATTAATTTACTCATACATGAATCATCTATGGCACATCCTATATCTTTGAACATCCCATGTGTTGAACACTGCCCCGTACCCCTGTGGAGGCCACCCCCTATGTTGGTGTTGCTGCCCACTTCCAGGCCCCCTATTCAGGAGCGAAAGAAAGACGTACATGTACATGAATCCACGCTGGTTTCGAGAGCACGCATTGCGCAAATGTTCGTACAACGCGGCCGGTCTCGCGGATCGAGGGGCCGTGTTCATGTACATAGCTGGGCGCGTACGTCCTTTGTGGGCTCCCTACCTATACCCTGATGGTCCGCTACCGAACATTTCCGGTAGCGCTCCGCAGAGATTGGTCGCTACCGAAATACCGAAATGTAGCGCCCAATACCGGTATCAGACCGTTCTGAAATCCGCTATTTCAACGCCCGCAAACGAAGATCCGGTCGCTACCGAAATTCGGGGTGCGCCGAAATCGCTACCGAAATCGCTACCGAAAATTTCGCGTACGTCCTTTGTGGGCTCCCTACCTATAGAGCCCGTCTCGAGGCCGGCCGCCGCCAGCTTTCTGGCTCCGGGTCCGCGCCCGATGCCGGCCCCCGCGGGCCCGGCCTCGGCCCCGGCCATGGCCCCGGCCCTGCAGGGCGGCCGGCTCCCTGCCGGGCGGGCGCCGTCCAG